GCCCCTAATGAGCCGCCAGGGCCCACTTTCACTTCAGCCGGCAATAGTAACACTTTATTTTGATAAAAATACCAGGAGTTGATTGACTATGTTGGTGTTGGTAGTGAACGTGGTGATCATGTGTCAGGTTAATACAAGAGGAAAAATGACCTGCAACCTCTGTTCACATACTACTGTATATGTGTTTATGTGATCAAATATACTGCCACAAACACGTCGGACATGAGCGAAGTGTACACATGTGGTGGTAGTGAGGGTGTGGAGTGCTGGACGGCAGGGACAGCGTCCACTGCCTTACAGCATCACACCGTCATGAATAAGACGTAGCCTGTGTGGAGGTGCCAGGGACGGTAGTATGTGATGGGCATGCTGATACACCTCCCACACGAGACGCTGGGCATCACACACGAGCCAATGGTGCATTTAGGGAGAACACAAATTACAGACGCGACGTGACGAGATGGCTGAAGAACATCAAACCTATGGACAATGACAGCGAGCAGTGTATCAAGGGCGGCGCTCCTCCACACACACGACGCTAACCAAGGCCCCTGATGGTCGTGTGTACAGAGTCTCAGGAGGTAGATACACCTCCAAGACTTAGGTATGTGCTCCTTCAATTTCTGCACATAAGTAATTTGTATTCCTTTGTTATTGTTCATCATGTCCGCTGTGATATTTCCCCTCAACTTGCAGGCGGAGACGTAAAGAGCACAACACTGACAGCTCTGATGTGTGCCTTACAATGACACCTCCGAGTTTTAATTAGACCATGGTAGCTATAGCCAATAGTTAGGTGCAGGAAACGATGGCCTACCATACCGGTACCGATATCATGGATGCTTAACCGTCTCAAGGGACTCTGTAAACACAAACCACAAGGAACTTATAAACACCGTGTACAGGTGAGACTCAATGAGATATCTCGCCAGGTAACACAAGTACCTTTACCTCTCACTGTCACAGCCGCCATTACCTTCACTGTCTAACTAAAAAGGCAACATTTCTCGAATCACTTGAAGAATGGGCACTCCAGCTTATTTCTCTTGATGATTAAATACTCTAACGCTAACCTAACCTAACCTAAACTAACCTACCCCCTGCAGGTAGTGTTACGGCGTTTAATCATCAGGTAAAATAACCTAAAAATCCTTTATCTCTCAAGTAATCCTATTTCCTTCCCGTAAGACGTATATTTTACACACTGTGAACAACTGGAGCATCACACATACCAGTAACATCTATTGTTGTAACACGTGGATGTCTCTCCTGGCAGCTGCTGGGAGTGCTGTAATCTATCCCACTCAGAGGTCACTTACTCTTAAGCTCCAAAATACACCGTATATATATTTTGGGAACAGTTGAACATTTAGTATACAGCCAACAAAAGTAATAATTTCTACTGGTCTATAACACCTACATCACTTTATAATAAATCTTTAAAAAGCACATTGATGCCCACTAAATAATAACTTCTACTATGGTAACACGTTCAGTACACCACTTTATACTTAACAAATAGTTTATCTCCCTCAAAAGTAATCATTTCTACTGGTCTAATACTTTTATCACTTTACAGTAAACCTCTCAAAAATCCGTAAGTTGATTTGTCGCTGTCGGAAATATCTTTACAAAGGAGTTAATCCAGATGAGTATTTTAGTCTTTTTTCTTTTATGAATCCAGTCGACATAGTTGAAGTTTCTCTGTACGGCGGTGATGTGACAGGCAATTCCTTCAGGCAGGCCAAGACCGTGGGGATTGTTGTCGAGTCATAACTATATTGTCGGCACGGACGAATTTCCTTCATTGTGGGAATACTAAACATACTTCTTGAGTAGGTTGCTACTACTTCTGCTGGCTCTGTGGTCATGAGTGTGCTAGTGTGTGGAAATAATTGTGGTAGTGTGTGGTCATGATTGTGTTTGTGTGCGGTCATGAGTGCGGTAGTGTGTGGTCATGAGTGTGGTGTGCGGTCATGAGTGTGGTGTGTGGTTATGAGTGTGGTAGAATATGGTCTTGAGTGGTAGAATGTGGTCATGGCTGTGGTAATGTGTAGTCATGAGTGTGGTGGTGCGTGGTCATGAGTGTGGTGGTGCGTGGTCATGAGTGTGTTGGTGTGTGGTCATGAGTGTTATGTGTTGTCAGGAGAGTGGTGGTGCAATAATAATAATAATAATAATAATAATAATAATAATAATAATAATTTACGGTTTATTGAAAGTGCATGGCAGCCCGAAGGTTGAAAATATAGTTATATAATTGGGGAATGGGTCACTTGATTGACAATTAATATACAAGTAACAAAAGTGATGCAAATATGATATATAATAACTGTGTGGGGAGAAGGTCATACTACAGGGCGTTTCAACATAGTAACAGTGCAAAAAGGTAAGATTGGCTGGGAGTGAACACACTGGTTGACTACGAGTTGCAGATAAATTTTACAATGGTTGGGACTGGGCTGTTCTTATAGCGATCAGTACGTGCACGTATGGGCTGGATGCGGTTGTGGTGTCGAACAGCAATTCGCGGACGAGGGATCTCGGGTGGAAGCAGGAGCCGGCGTGTGGTCATGAGTGTGTTGGTGTATGATCATGAGTATGGTACCCTAGTGTGTGGTCATGAGTGTGGTAGTGCGTGATGAGTATGGTGGTGTGTGGGTCATGAGTGTGTTGGTGTGTGGTCATGAGTGTGGTAGTGTGTGTGGTCATGAGTGTGTGAGTGTGTGTGGTCATGAGTGTGTGAGTGTGTGTGGTCATGAGTGTGGTAGTGTGTGATGAGTATGGTGGCGTGTGGGTCATGAGTGTGTTGGTGTGTGGTCATGAGTGTGGTAGTGTGTGTGGTCATGAGTGTGTGAGTGTGTGTGGTCATGAGTGTGGTAGTGTGTGATGAGTATGGTGGTGCGTGGTCATGGGTGTGTTGGTGTGTGGTCATGGTAGTGTGTGGTCATGAGTGTGTGGTGTGTGTGAGTGTGTGGTCATGAGTGTGTGAGTGTGTGTGGTCATGAGTGTGGTGAGTGTGTGATGGTATGGTGGTGCGTGGTCATGAGTGTGTTGGTGTGTGGTCATGAGTGTGTTGGTGTGTGGTCATGAGTGTGGTAGTGTGTGTGGTCATGGTGTGGTGGTGTGTGTGGTCATAGTGTGTTGGTGCGTGGTCATAAGTGTGTTGGTGGTGTGTGGTCATGGTGTGGTCGCGTGTGTGTTGGTGTGTGGTCATGAGTGTGGTAGTGTGTGTGGTCATGAGTGTGGTCGCGTGTGGTCATGAGTGTGGTCGCGTGTGGTCACGAGTGTGGTAGTGTGTGTGGTCATGAGTGTGGTAGTGTGTGTGGTCATGAGTGTGTGAGTGTGTGTGGTCATGAGTGTGTTACTGCGTGGTCATAAGTGTGTTGGTGTGTGATCATGAGTGTGGTAGTGTGTGGTCATGAGTGTGGTAGTGCATCTCAATGTGGCTTTAGGCCGTCACATGGCACCACTGACATGATCTTTGCTGCCTGCCAGATACAGAAAAAGTGCAGAGAACAGCGTTGTGACCTGTACAGTGTACATGTCCTTCATCGACCTAATGAAGGCCTTCGACTCGGTCAACAGGGAAGCCCTCTGGTGGATCCTCAGCCGTTTTGACTGCCCACCAAAATTCATCGCCATTGTGAGGCAACTCACGATGGTGTGAACGGCAGTGTTCTGCGCACTGGCACCCAGTCTGAGTCCTTCCCCATCGAAACAGGGGTAAAACAAGGATGTGTACTGGCACCAACTCTGATTTCCATTTTCATGGTTGCCTTCTTTACTCGTGCCAGATGAAGGGACTTTTCAACATAAGACGACTGCAGGCAGGAACAAAGTTCTCGGCAGCTTCCATTACTGAACTTCAGTAAACAGACGACCTTACCCCCGTCGCTCACACTGAGCGCGACCTACAGGAGATCCTGAACACCTTCGCAGATGCGTAGCACACTTCGGCCTAGAGGTGAATGTACGTAAGACTCAGATTCTCTTTCAGCATGGCCCTGGTTCAGCCACACTTCCACCATCTATCCAACTTAACGGTACTACCCCCTCTAATGTTACTCACTTTCAGTATCTCGGCTCCCACCTGTCCACCACCGCGTACATCGATGAATAGCTTCAACATCGTATCAGATGTGTATCTCAAGCTTTTGGCAGACTCCGTACCCGTGTCTTCAGCTGGAGGGAGCTGAAATTATCTACAAAGTTGCACGTATATCGAGGCAGTGGTCCTCCCCACCCTGCTATATGGCAGCAAGACATGGGTCACGTACAGGAGGCACCTCAAGGCACTTGAAAACTTTCACCAACGTAGTCTATGTTCCGTCCTCCGAGTTCGCTGGGAACACAAGAGAACAAATGCCAGTATTCTTGCTGACACCAACTGTAAGAGCATCGAGGCTACCATTATCCATTAACAACTACGTTGGACTAGCCATGTTATCCACATGGACGACAGTAGACTGCCAAAGCAGCAACTTTACAGTCACCCAACGATTAGCAAACGTAACGCTGGCGGGCAACTGAAAAGTTATAAGGATAGTCTTAAGACAAACCTGAAAAAGTGCCAAATCGAACACCCTCACCTGGGAGACGATTAATTCACACAGTAACGCTTGGAGGAGCACCACACGAGGTGCCAATACTTTCGAGTTAGCCCGACTGCATACCGAGGCAGACAAGCGCCAGTGCCGGGAAGACGCTGCCGCCGCCGTCACCCCTCCCGCACTCGATGTAGCCCTCCACATGTACCACATCTGTGGACGGCCCTGCCGGTCCCGTATCGGCCTCTCGAGTCACCTCATTGTATCATTGTATCATAACTGGATGATCGTCATACTCGATTCCGAGTGACAGCAAAGTAGTAGTAGTAGTCTGTAGTCATTGAGTCTGTTGATGTGTGGAAAAGAGTGTGATAATGCGTGGTCATGAGTGTGGAGGTGCGTGGTCATGAGTGTGGTAGTCTGTAGTCATGAATCTGTTGGTGTATTATCATGATTGTGGTAAAGTGTGTTCATGAGTGTGGTGGTGTGTCCATCCTCGAATATGTTCTTGAGAGACCAGGAATGGAAGAGAGAGAAGCCGACCCACCCGACCGAGAAGAGAAGAGAAGAGAAGAGAAGAGAAGAGAAGGCGAGTGTCAGGGAAAAACAAGACAGTCAAGACCCAAGGCATCCTGACACTATTCCCGCGATTTATTCACCAGGTCTGAACCATCCCCGCCATGTTGGACCAGCCAGTGATGATCGCACCTGCCACCAGCTACCACTACCATTACTACTACTACTACCACTATTTTTTTTTGTAATATGGCCTCCAGCCTCCCCCAATAGCCATACCTTCGTCACCATTTTATTACCTTAATATTAAACATCCTAATACATAAGTACCAATCCTAGCTGTGTTGAATTAGTTGAGCCGCAGATCTATGCGGCAGTAAGTGACTGTTGCCTCATAGTCAATATCTTCAACCATTACCACCACTACTAACACAATTGCCAGCATCACTACTACTACTACCACCACTAATACCTCTACCACCACTAATACTACCCCCTATCTCTACCACCAGTCCACCACTACTACTAACCCTATCTCTACCACCACTAATACTACCACTACCTCTACCACTACTAGCACCACCACCACTTCCTATATCACTATATCTACCACTATTCAGGGGTTCGGGGTGGGGTTCAGGGGTTCGGGGTGGGGTTCAGGGGTTCAGGGTGGGGTTCAGGGGTTCAAGTAAGGGTTCCGAGGTTTGAAGGAAGAAGTAACCAGAAAAAAAATCGTGTCATATAAACAATATTGAAAAATTATAAGTTGAAAGTCAACATTCAGCAATGAACTAAGTCCTGACAGTGAACACCAGCGTTGAACTAAGCAATCATCCGAAGATTAAACATCCCAGCTGATTAAATAAGCTGTGGTGTCTAATCTTCAAGAAGAAATAAACTAGGGTGTCTAATCATCAGGTAAAAATAAGCTGGGTGGCCTAATCATAAGGACGAAATAAACCAGGGTATGTAATAATTCCTGACAAGTGAACCACAGCGTCAGAACCGTTCACGACACCACGATAAACCCAGAGAACTAACATCATACTGCAGGGTGGGCGAGAAATAACTGACACACGGGTTGGTCTCTACAGCCTCGTGAATGTGTCAGTTATCTCTCGCCCCACCCTGCATACTGTACTGTGTATATCTTTCCACGAACACAACACTACTGCTGCTGGTAGTGGTGGCATAACTGTGCGTCGTCTCAGGGTAAACGATGGAAGGCATTAGTTAACTTTCAAAAGAATGTCATGACGGCAATGGCTGTGTTTATACGACATACTAGTGACGTGAACACACACACGGCAGCAACAAAACTGTGGCACAACACCTGCCCTCGTGTGTGGCCGAAGTGAACATCAGGTGTGCGAGGGAATTTCGATTAGAGGTGTGTGTGTGTAGGCAGATGTGAGTTGTAACATGGTGCTCAGCCGTTCCAGCAGGTATAGTCCAGTATCTGTATGAGCAGAAAAATACTCAGTAACGTGCGAAACTCTCACCAATATGTGAAGGGCTCCAGTCCCGCTTGACCCAGACACACGTGATGTGTGACCCTCACTACATCACAGGTTTCCCGGACTCCGGTTTCGTCCTGTTCTAACACTAGATAGACCAACCGCCCGAACGGCTGGTAAGCTGATAAATGGTTAAATAATAATGAAAAATAATAATAATTCGGGGTGCAGCAGCCAAATGGACAAGCGCTCGCCTTCTGTTTTAAGGATTGCTGATTTACCCAGACACCGTCAACCATCCAACTAATTTTGCTGTTAGGGAAGTGTAGGTGGTCAAGCATAGTGCCAGCCACGCTGTTTCTTGTACAGTTAAGGCTGTGTATTCATTGGACTGTATCCACACTGCCCCGAACGGGGTCATGCCTAAGGAGCCCACTTCCAAGTATAAATATTTTGGATTTCAAAGTTTTTAATATATATTTATCAATAATAATTTAAATAAAAACTTTCAGGTATAATAATACGACGAGATGTAACAATCAACAATACCCTGTATATAAAACTAAAATGCTGTAAATTGAGAGTAACCTTCCCCTTGGTGACTAAGTGGGGAGGGTTAGAACTCCTTAAGGAGGATGAGGGAACGTGGAGAGCCTCACTGAGGTGTCATCACCCCCTCTACTCGTCGCATATCCCGCCGTTTTATAAACTACAAATTCGTATAACCGCGAGATGGAATTGCCAAGGTTTGGACAACAATGTTGGCTGCGTTAGTCAGCTCAGTGCCCGTGTTTCCTGCCTGACTAAAAGGAATCCTGTGTGAGGAGTTTTTTCCCCCAGTGGATCTAAACGAGGTAAATGACCACCAAGTCGTGATCATCTTGTTAACAGGTGAGCTGTTGTAAACACCTTGATAGAGACGGTCAGTGAGCGACAGACATTTACAGGTGAGAGCTGTCAGACGGTGCAGCAGCATCTAACAGTGTTGTGTAAATACGTGGTCTTCCCGCTACTTATTTTAACCCAGCCCACACACTCTTCCCCGGCCAAGTACCTCCACTCTCCGCCTCTATTTCGGTATCATTCTTGTCATGGCATAACCGGCATTAGTGGCATGAACGAGCACATACCCGGCACGCCCCGGGTTCCCGCGACCCACACAAGCACCACCAGTAACACCGTCACCACTAATACTTACACCACGACCAACACCAAATGCGGCGTCAACACCATTACGACGACTACCACCACCAATACCAGCGCCAACACCACTACCACCAACCCCACCAACGACAACAACGGCAGCAGCACCGAAGACACAAGTGACAATGAAACTCTTCGTAAAGGAGTGTTGGTGGTGGAGTGTTGGTGGTGGAGAAGCGTAGGTGGTAGAAAAGCTGTTGGTGATGACGGAGGGGTGTTGATGTTGGTGGTGAAGTATTGGCTATGTTAGGTTAAGTTAGCTTAGGAAAGGTCACGTTAGTATAGTATAGTATAGGTCAAAGGGAAGTTTGTTTTACCATTATTAAACGTAGTCATATGTTGTGTAGCGTCACCAGCTGTACGTAAGACACTGTAAACTATTATCTTTGCACGCAGACACACACACAAACTGTTCACATCAGCCCTGAACACAATCCGCAAAACAGGTAATATACAGTAATCTGATGCGCCAAATAATGAACACATTCTAATCTGCAACATAGCCAACTCTTTGGATAAAATTACTAACTTACTGACAGCTGAATATTAATCACATCCCAATCTTGTAACTTTGCAACGTTGGATAAAATCATTAATATACCTGACGCTGTAAGGAATTAATACATTCCGGCCAGCAACTCTGTATCGCTGTGGGGGGAAAAAAAAGGACTTTGGTTCATCGATCTTTAAGTCAGTTGTGTAGCTGCCATGCTGACACCAAACACCAACAGGGCAGACGTCCGTAAAGAAACGTGTATACCATAGTGGTGAAGACGCGAGCGGCAGCCACCACAACAAACGTGGAAATAATAACTAATAGATGATAATGTTGTACATATTTGAATACAGGGTGAGGATGAAACCATTTGGTAGCGTGCGTATACAGTCTAAAGAAGTACAGCATTCATCCATTCACTTATTCATTCTCTCATTCAGCTGTACTTTTATCCAAAATCATCAGTATACTGTATTGATTGATGACGTAACAAAATATGGTGCACCAACATATAATTAGTCAATGGATCCACACACACAAAATGACTAGTACACAAACAAACAAACAAGCACACACACGCACAAACAAACACACACACGTAACACACCATATACGAGTGACTTGACGTCTACAACACGACCTTGGTGGACAGCCGTGTGTCTGGAGGGTCGTAAGTAAAGTTGGACATGTGTACTTAGGCCAAGACGCTGGATCAGTCAACCCCTCAATTACGTGTCTCAGAGGTCCATTACACTCTACCCGCCCATATTTATGCCCCAGCCAACCCACGCCCATAAATCAACCAGCCAACCATCTCGCCACAAATTATTTCCCACGTCAAATAGAGACTCTGGAAAATTGCACTAGTGACTGTGGGCATGCCAAGATCTAGGAAGACACATCTACAAAAATAAAATCCCATTAGACTGTAATACGTCAGAGAGTGAGGTCGTATATTCAGGAATTATATGTCGTAAATGTGAAATATGAACAGGGGGGCGGGGGGGAGGAGGGGATATATTATACAGCATGACAGAAGAAGTCTTGTTTGTTGTTCATATAAGTGGCCTCTACGTCGCCTCCCTCCCTCCCTCCCCCTCCACTTGTGTTACGATAAAGCATTTTATTTTTGTCATGATTTATATTCGAAGTATTTCATTAAGAATTTAGTCCATACATCTCCCTGCTTCCTTGCCTCTCTCAGTCGTGTCACCTCCTCGCCAGACCTGCATTGTTTATTACTTAAAATTATCAATATGTCTTACCTGAAAATTTTCACCTGTAATACAGCACATCACCTTCATGTTGATATTTATACGAAAATATACTTCGAATTCATGCACTCATATTTTATCTAGTTACTAGTTAACTCCCTTTCTTACTTCCCTCCCTTCCCACCATCTCTCTCTCCTCCTATCCCTCTTCCCCTTTTTTCCTTCCTTCCCACCTTCCCTTTATTCCTACCCTTCCTCGCTTTCATCTTTCCTTCCATCTTTCTTACCTCCTCCCTCCCTCCCTTACCCCTTCGTGTGTCCGTCCGTCCGTCGTTTCCACCCTTCCCTCCCTCCCCGGGTGAGAGAGGGAAGCAGGAGGGGCGGCAGGCAACATCAACTATAAGTCCCACTGCCCCACGCCACCTCGTTTAATAACCTCCTGATGGTCTCGGTCTGGCAGCCGTAAGACGTAAACACATCACGGCTTGGCACTCATGAGGTGACACGGCAGGACGAGACAACACTAAGAGTCAAGACAGCAGTAGCACGGCAGGACGAGACAACACTAACAGCAGTAGCACGGCAGGACGAGACAACACTAAGAGTCAAGACAGCAGTAGCACGGCAGAACGAGACAACACTAAGAGTCAAGACAGCAGTAGCACGGCAGGACGAGACAACACTAAGAGTCAAGACAGCAGTAGCACGGCAGGACGAGACAACACTAAGAGTCAAGGAGAGGAGAGCCACAGGAACCTGGGAAGTGGCCTCAACAGATGTGTACTGTAACATGACGTACAAATAACTATCGATACGTATTACCACCATGCTACTGTACTATTCCAGATGATACTAAATGTTACATAATACTTCCTTGAGATAAATGTATAGTATATATCAGATGCCTCAAAGAGAGCTCAGGTTCTCAACAGGCTCAGCCATGTTAATATTGTTATTATTATCCACTCTGTATCTGTATTTTTCTGGCTAAATAAACTGTTACAATTCAATTCAAAATTCAATCGACAATTCTTGTAATAAAACGTTTTTGACTTATAGCATTTAAATAACTTCATTATTCTCTTAATTATTTCTTTAATTAATCCTTATAATTTGTTACTGTTTTATCTTTCTCACTATTCTCAATACTTCCTACTTTAAAGATCCTCAACTCTTCATTAATATATTTCTCAAGTCAGTTTTCTCATGAGTTTATATACAGTATATAATTCTCCCAGTATCTCATTACAGTTACTTTTATGTGTTCACACCTTAATTATTTACGTCTATAACTTCTTTAATTTATTCATATATTTACTCTCTTTCATCTACTACATACATGTAATATTAGTCCAGCTGCACCTGTTATTTTACTTAATCTACTTTAAAGAAAAAGAAAGAAACAAACAAACAAAAGCGAGAAACAGAGACAGACTCGTGGTGGACTATAAGCGACCAGGTGAACAGACAGAGGAGTTGCTCAACTAACGAATGGTGAAACTTCTGGCAACGAAGCTGTAATTCCTGCGGTGTTTCCCATGCTGCTTCTATTGTGCTGGTGCTCGCTGAAGTGGTGTTAATGACGGTGATGCGATGTATTATAGAGCTTCAACAACTAAATTCCTTAACAAGCACGTATTCTAGCCTAGTACACACCACTGGTCATCAACAAGTAGGGATTGATATACAAGTACTGTAGATTTCTCGGGAAGGATGAATCACGGGTGTAATCCAACCGTAATGCACACACACACTTAACATGTCCACAAGTATACTGTACACTAGTGCGTGCTAATAAGTTCCACAGCAATTTTTAGGAGTAACTCGGATCGGGGAGTCTAGGAATAGTCGTACATGCGTCTAATGATGAATACGATTATTAGAATCACCGAGGGAGATAATTACAACTCTGAATACACCTATGTACAGCCCAGCGTGTCATAACTAAATGTATACCCAAACAAAACTGGCCTTAATTCAGCTTTAAACGTTATCATGAACTGTTTCCCCCAGGCATTATCTAGTAAGTTTATAATAACTTGGCGTCGCAGCATGAGTAACTGGACACTAATGCCCCTTTCCGACAATTTAAAATTTTGTACATATCTCTCGTGAAGTAGCGTTGGACGTGTGGGAGAGTTTCTCTTTTAACTGTTCAAACATCAAAGCCTTTGTGGCGTTTCAAACATCAAAGCCTTTGTGGCGTTTCAAACATCAAAGCCTTTGTGGCGTATCTGTCAGCACTTGTCTCGAGGACGTCGTAGTATTGGACAGGTTCATGTCTTTTGTCACCGGGGGAGACAACAACGCCAGGTTCTACACGGAGGTCAACAAACACCAGACAACA